TATAACGGCAATATATATCGACAGCAGGGACAACATCGGCAGCAGCAGAGACAACATCGGCAGCAGCAGAGACAACATCGGCAGCAGTAGAGACAACATCGGTAGCAGCAGAGACAACATCGGCACCAATCGCGGGTCCTTCAACTGCACCAGCCTCAATCGACAACGACACTCGACTGACTTCTGCGCAGCAACTGAATCCAACACCACGAGAAGTGCATCGAAGCGCAAACCTCACCGCAAGCTTCTACTCCAACTCCGACTTGTACCGTCGCTCACCCGGACATCGAGCTGGCGAAGATATCTGGCACGCACGAATGGGACATCCAAGCAACACGGTGTTAAACAATACAATCAGAGCAGGCGTGCTCGACAAAGACTCATAACTTCTAACTAACGGAAGCGAACAACGACGAGCTCGCGGAACGTGCTTTACCTGCCCCGAAGCCGACTTACCACATCGGCCGTTCGTTTCTCACCACAACCCGAGCACACCAGCTTACGCACCACTCGAGAAAGTGTACAGCGACATCCTATACAATCGCAAACCTACACAAGGAGCATACAGCTACACCATCACGTTCATCGATGCCGCCACGCGCTACATTTGGCACCTCAATCTTCCGAGCAAAGTCATGGCTTTTGAGGCTTTCGTCACCTGGCTCCCAGTAGCAGAACGAGAATCAGGCATGAAGCTAAAGAGCTTCCAGTCAGACGGAGGAGGAGAATACACCTCACAGAGGTTTAAGCACTACTTAGCAGAGAGGGGAATCAAGCAGCTCATCTCCCTTCCCTACGCCCATCAACAGCAAGGTGTAGTAGAGAGAATGAACAGGACTCTCCAGAACACCATGCGCAAGCTGCTACGTGGCATGCGGCTTCCCAACCACCAATGGCTCGAAGCAATGGACCATGCTGTCATGCTGCACAACTTGCTCTCGTCATCATCGCTCCCGAACAACACATCACTGCACCTGCTATGGACAGGAAATCAGGGCAGCACAAAAATGTTAAGAATTTTCGACTGCATGGTGCAGTACCGACCCCCAGCTGCACGAGCCGGCCGATTCTCCCAACGTGCACAGTGGGGACTACACATGGGCATCGAAAAGAATTACAGAGCGTGGAAGATTTTTTACGTCCACTCAAAAGAAATAGTAGCAGCATGTGATGTCATTTTCTACGAGCGACTCACACTCCCGACATACCTTGCCCACCTGGAAAAAGACCGAGACCCCACAGGTGGCTTTTATGGTGACCGAGCCTTCGCCTCGGTAGCAGTCGAAGCTGACTGGGACGAGCAGAACGTGGATGAAGCCTCGGAGGAAGCCAGAACTCTCCCTTACTGCTCTGTTGACATCCCAATGGATGACGAAAATCCTCGCGAAAGCGTCAACGCCGAAGTATTTTACCACTTCGCCGACAACGGTTACGTTACACTTGCAAGAGTCAACACCAACGAAGCAGAACGCATAGGGCCCAACTTCATACCTGACCCAGAAGCAGGAGACGAAGCAGCTTATCTCGAGGACACAACACTTCCCCGCTACACACAGAGTGGTCTTCAGATACTCGGCCTCGTCACCGCGGTTCAGGGCGCAACGCTTCCTAAGGAGCCTGCCACGGTTCAGCAGGCTCTGGGGGGGGAGTATAGAGAGAAATGGCGCGAAGCCATGGAAACGTCGCTGAAAGCACTGGAGGAACGCAACACTTGGAAAGTCGTTCCCATTAGCATGGCACAAAAGGAGACAATACTCACCAGGAAATGGGTTTTCCATGTGAAGACAATGGCGGACGGCATTATTGACAAATTCAAGGCTCGCTGGGTCGTACGTAGCTTCGACCAAGAGCACGAACTCAACTTCACCAAGACGTTCGCCCCGGTCAGCCGACACACTTCACTCCAAATCCTCCTCGTGATCGCCGCCATGAAGAAGAAGAAACTGCGGCAAATTGACGTCGCTAATGCCTTCCTCTATGCATCTGTTGACGCAGAGATCTTCGTCGAATTACCACACGGCTCAAGCGGAGAACCTAACCAAGTCTGCCAGTTACTGAAGTCCTTGTACGGCATCAAACAGGCACCGACACTGTGGCAGTAGTACCTGCACGCTAGACTCATTCGCATCGGATTCTGCCAGCTACCGCACGACCAGGGCATGTACCGACTCACAAAGGGCAACGACTACATTCTACTCATCGTCTATGCAGACGACCTGCTCTACATCAGCTCGATCGACGGCGTCACTACCTGGTTCGAAGGGGAGCTGCAGCAAGATCTCATGCTCACGGTCTCGTCCACCGTCACGCAGTATCTCGGCCTCAATATTCAAGAAGAAGAAAACGCGATCTACCTCAGCGACGCGGAATACGACGACACTATCGCCAACCGCTTCAAACTCACCCCGATCTCCATCTCCACGCCATACTGCTACACCGCAGGAAATCACAAGGAAGGATCCACCCCACTCAAGCCCGCCAGCATACGCGACTACCAAAGAAAGCTGGGATGCCTCCTCTTCGCGGCCGTCACCTGCCGTCCGGATCTATCGTACTCTGCGAGTCAACTCGCCACCTACCTCAAAAGGCCCGAAGCAGAACATTTGGCGGAGCTCGACCGCGCTCTTCACTATCTCGTTAGCACTCCGACGATCAACCTGACCTATCATAAGAACAAGACATCGACACCTAAGTTAATCGGCTACGTCGACGCCGATCACGCCGGCGACTCCGAGAACAGACGCTCGAGCACCGGCTACATCTATCGCTTCGAACCTATTGGACCCATCTCGTGGCAGTCGAGCAAGCAGGAGTTAATCGCCCTCTCCTTAGCTGAAGCAGAATATATCGCACTCTGCTCAGCCACCAAGGAAGGACTATACCTTGGCGAACTCCTGGAGGAAGCAAAGCTGGCTCAGTTACCCAACTCTCATTGTTCTGCGACAACCAGTCAGCAATTCGTATAGCCAACAAAGATGGATTCGCAAACAGGACGAAGCACATCGCCCTGCGATATTTCTTCGTAAAGGACGAGATCGAGAAAGGCAGACTCGAACTGTCCTACTGCCCCACATCCAAGATGGCAGCTGACTATTTGACCAAGAAGCTCGGAAAGCAGAAGTTCGAGTACTGCATGCTGCTGACTGGACAGAGCCACGTCACCAGCAACGACACTCCAGAAGCGAAGGGGGGTGTTGGAAACTAGTGATTTAAGCGTATTTGTCGTGTCGAAACACTAAGTCGTAAACGAAGCGAAGTACAGTGAAACATCGGCGAGTCAACCCTCGGAGGTTGAACAACTGCTGGAGGTTACGCGAAACTCAAAGGTCAGCGACCTTGGACCTGACAAGTACAGCGCGACAACAAGGACAAACAACTGACTCGTTATTGAACAGTTGCCCGAGTCGTCACTGTATCGAACCGCAACATCAATAGTAAAACAATTATTAGCTATAACCTTTCATATTCCCTTGTACTCTTATAAAAGCTTGTATCTCATTGCTTTAATCAATTTACTTTGCCCTCACATACCAGCGCAAGGTGGTTCACAGACTTATCATTAAACGCTTCCGCTATTATATCATTCCTTCTCAGAGTTTAGTCATGCAAAGTTCCTAAGGGCCTTTTCTCAGCCCAACAGTCTTATCCTATCCATCGATTCCTTGGTTATATCAGCAACATGTACTCCCAATTGTTGGGGGTTGTACTCACGAGAAACAAAAGTGAAGTTTCCATTCATATGCGATGTAGTGTATTATACGAACTATATTTAAATTATTTGCGCTTGCTGTTACGAGCAGGTTCTTCTTTCTTTCGCTCCCCGCGCCGGACGGCGATTTTTGTTGTTCGTGGTTCGCTGTCGTGCTTCGCCTCGAGCCTGAGAGGCTCGGAAAGTGTCATCAAGTTCTTCGCTCTGCTTGTCGTTCCGCTTTCGCAGCCGCACATCCCTGCTTTCTCCAACACCAGCGGCTCGCTCGCTTCCCAAACAGTGACTTCCGCCTTTCCGTCCCTGGCTTTGGCGCAAGCTGTGTAGCAAGTTACAACTGGTTTCTGAGGATTTGTTTCCGCGTGTTCTCCCTCCCCCTCCCTCGTTTGTGCGCATGCGAGTAGGATAAACGTGTGTCCACCTGCCACCTGCGCGCAGCGCTTCCACTTTCACGGGACTAAGCGATCCTCCGCCATGCCCTCCACCATCCCTGGTCCCATTCTTCCCGCCTCCCCTCCCTCCCCCCACTTTCATTGGCACACATCCCCAATCACCTCCGCCCATTCGACTGCCTCACCTTCTCGTCTTCCTTCCGCTTGCTCCCTACCTAGCCCTGCCAGCAGCATTACCCCCCAGCATCCCAACAACACCCCATCATCATCATTCCTGCTGCGACCGCACTAACCCAACCTGCCTGCTAATGCTAACCCTCATAACCATCACCAACTGCCTCCCTTCTCCGCTTCCTCATCATTTAGGTCGTCATTGGCGGACGTCCCGATTCGCACGACGCTTTTATCGCATTATTATAAATTAGGAGCATAATGACTTAGTAGGAGTCTGGCATAACAGGTTCGCGTCCAGAGTTCGTCCTCGATCTGCTCTGTACGTAGGAGTCCTCACGCCTGTGACGGACGTGTTACGCACCATTCAACACAGTTGTATTCGCGTGCCTTAACTGGCGGCACTTACTGTTACAGATGTTCTTACACGCAGTACCGTGGATGCAGGGCGGTAGTCACTCTCCCTGTAAGCCCTCGCGTTGCTTCTCTTTGTTAATACTTTAAGAACGTTAAGACGACATTTCTTCAAGTGTAGCCTACAACTCTAGGCAGCTTTGTTCAAAACTCTTTGGTTAACAGTCCTCTCATTTCCTCAATTCGGGGACACCGTAACTGTGGTCGTCATTTGTCGACGATTCCAACGGTAGCTAGCGAGGGTAGCCAGGGCTGGTGCGCCACCCGCACTGCTCCTAGGCCCACGAACTCTGGGCTGGGTTACTTGCGGGCTCGTCATGGGGTGCGCGTGTTCCCATCCCAGTGCGCTCGACGAGTCTCCGCCTCACAAGCCTGCAGCAGAGAAGCCTCCCCCTCCCCCACAGCAGCAGCAAAGACCGCCAGCCGCCACTCCGCCTCCCGCCGCCGTCCCCGTGGCACCCGAGCCCCCTTCCATAAAGGATCCCCCGCCTCCCGCCAAATCAGGGGCTCCGCCAACAGTAGCAGCTGCGCCAGCGGCGGTAACCGCAGCTCAAGCCGCGGGGAAGGGCAGCTCGCGGCAGAGCGGGCAACTGGGGGCGGGGGAGGAGGGAGCGGAGCGGGAGAGACGGAAGGAGCGGGAAAAGGAGAAGGAGAAGGAGAAGGAGCGAGAGCGGGAGCGGGATCGAGAGCGGGCGGGAGATGCGGTAGTGCCGGCGGCGGTGGCGTCGGTGCCGCGGCAGGTGCACAAGAGCCTGGAGGCGGAGCAGGTGGCGGCGGGATGGCCGTCGTGGCTCGCGTCCGTCGCCAGCGAGGCCATCAAGGGCTGGGTGCCGCGCCGCGCCGACTCCTTCGAGAAACTCGACAAGGTGAGCCGCGCGCGGACGCTAACGGGCGCGGTCGGGATCCGCGTGCGGCGAGTGCGCTGGGAAGGGAGTACGTGGGGATGGGAGTGTGCGGTTGGTGGAATGCAATGGAAGGGGAAAGAGCGGCTGCTTTACAACGTTGTTGAACGGAAAGAAGGGACGGGAACGAGAGCTATATGTCATGAACGAAAGCACGAGCAGCGAGTGGGACGGAAGGGAGCGAATCGTGGGTCGCTAGTGAGAGGGATGGACACTCTCTCGCTCGCGCGTCGCGTTGCGTGCTCTAGACGCTCATCCTGATCTGCGCGCTTGCTCTGTTTGGCCTTTGTTTTGCGATGCTCGCGTAGCCACCGCTGTTATGCAACCTGCTCGGCTCCGCTCGAATTTAGAGTTGCGGGCGGCAATATGTCGCACACTGTCAGGCTGTCGCCCAGTGCCGCACACCGCCAGGCTGTCGCACAGTGCCGCCTGATTCTACGACGTCGTGGGTAACTATTTATGCTAAGTGATTGGATCGGCTGCCGCATTCACAAGCGCCGATGCGGGGCTTTGTGGCCGTCCATACTCTTGCTTGTGCCTTACGCGCTCTTGCTGACCTCGTCGCACTCGCACCATTCCCAACCCAATCACCCTGAACCTTCCTCCCCCCCTTTCCACGCCCCCTACGCGTGGTGGCGCGCAGATAGGGCAGGGGACGTACAGCAACGTGTACAAGGCGCGCGACCTGGAGAGCGGGCGGCTGGTAGCGCTGAAGAAGGTGCGGTTCGACAACCTGGAGCCAGAGAGCGTGCGGTTCATGGCGCGCGAGATCGAGGTGCTGCGGCGCCTGGACCACCCGAACGTGATTCGGCTGGAGGGGCTGGTGACGTCGCGCATGAGCTGCAGCCTGTACCTCGTCTTCGAGTACATGGAGCACGACCTCGCCGGGCTCGCCGCCTGCCCCGGCATCTCCTTCACCGAGGCGCAGGTCCGCCGCCCTGCCCTTACCTCGTCGCCGTGCTGCTTGTCTTGCTGCCGCTTCCGCGTGCGGTTCCGTGCTTGTCTCTGCGTGGCTTCGGCGACCATCCTTCCCTTGCTCCCCCCTTCGCGCGCCCCACCTCCCCCTCCCTTTCGTGTCCCCTCCCCCTCTTCCTCGCGTGCTGGCAGGTGAAGTGTTACATGCAGCAGCTGGTGGCGGGGTTGGAGCACTGCCACACGCACGGCGTGCTGCACCGCGACATCAAGGGCAGCAACCTGCTGCTCGACAACACGGGCAGCCTCAAGATCGCCGACTTCGGGCTCGCCACGTTCTACCGCCCCGAGCAGAACGTGCCGCTGACCAGCCGCGTGGTGACGCTGTGGTACCGGCCGCCCGAGCTGCTGCTGGGCGCCACCACGTACGGCGTGGGCGTCGACCTGTGGAGCAGCGGCTGCATCCTCGCCGAGCTGCTCGCCGGCAAACCCATCATGCCCGGCCGCACCGAGGTAAGCCGCGCGCACGTGATCCGCGCGCACGTGCGCCTGCCCGGGTGAGTCGCGTGCAGGTGAGCGGCGCGCAGGTGTCTTGGCCTTGGTCTGCCTCCATCCCCCGCTCGCTCCTCACTCACCCCTTCCCCCTCCAACCTTTCTTCCACCCGTCCACCGTTCACACCCCCTCCTCCCCCCCTTCATCCCCGTTCTCCCTCCCCCATTACCCCCCGCCCCCCCCGTGCGCCCCATGGCGCGCGCGCAGGTGGAGCAGCTGCACAAGATATTCAAGCTGTGCGGGTCGCCCAGCGAGGAGTACTGGCGGCGCTCCAAGCTGCCGCACGCCACCATCTTCAAGCCCACCCAGCCGTACAAGCGCGCGTTGCGGGACCTGTTCAAGGACTTCCCCGCCACGGCGCTCAACCTGCTCGACGTCCTGCTCTCCATCGAACCCGCCGACCGCGGCTCCGCCACCTCCGCGCTCGCGCACGAGGTGAGAAGAGGGGCGCTTGAAGTGAGGCGCGCACGAGGTGAAACAAGGGGCGGTAGAGGACGGCAGGTCATGACGCTTCAGAAATCGTTGCTGCCTGCGTCATTCCTCTTTTCCCTCCACCCCTTCGCAAACCCCTCACGTGCCGCCATTCTCCCTCATACTCTTGCCGTTCCCCATCACCCATCCCTTCCCCCTCCCCCCCCCCCCCCCCCCGTCCCCCTCTCCCTTATGCCTGGCAGTTCTTCACGACGAAGCCATTGCCGTGCGACCCAGCGAGTCTACCGCAGTACCCGCCCAGCAAGGAGTACGACGCCAAGCTGCGCGACGAAGAGGCCCGCAGGTCATCCCTCCCTGCCCCTCCCCGCCCCAACCCGCCCCTCCCCGCCCTTCCTCTTCCCTCCCCCCTTCCCCGCTCCCCGCTGCCCCTCGCCGCCCCGTGCTTGCTCGCCACTTCACGCCCGTGCTCGGCCCTCAATGCACCTCCTTGCGCCCTCTCATCCTCGCCCTTCACTCAAGCTGCGTCCCTGTGCGGGCCGTGCCACTGCTGTGCCGTTGTGCTGTGCTGCCTGTCGCCCTCTTACTCCCACTTGCTCTCACCGTGCAACAACCCTGGTGCGTGCACCGCCCCTCAACCTCTGTCACCGTGCATGCCGCGCTGTCTGCATGCCCTCCGCTGTGCGCCGCTGCTGCTCCCTGGTCCGTCGTCTGTGGCAGGCAGAGGGCGGCAGGGGCGAGGGCGGGCAAGGTGCTAGACAGCAGCGCGAGCAGCAAGCAGGCGGCGGCGGGGCAGGGCGCGCAGCGCAGCAGCACGTCGCAGCAGCAGCCGCAGCTGCAGCAGCAGAGCCAGCAGCGCTCCAGCCGGGCGGTGCCGGCGCCCCACGCCAACGCGGAGCTGGTGGAGTCCATCAACATGCAGGTGCGTGGCTCACTGCCGTGCCATCACTGCTGCCAAGGGGTGGATACAGCACCCCCTGTGCGCCCGTCGCCCACCTCTTCCACCGCCACTCCCTCACCACCTGCCAAACTCAATTCTCCCCATTCCATGCTCACGCCCTCCTTTCCTCATTCCCTCCCCTCTTCCCCGCCTTCCCTCCCCCCCCCCCCCAACAGAAGGCTGCGGGGGGCAAGGCGGCGATAGCGAAGAGCAAGAGTGAGAAGTTCATCAGTCCGGCGGAGATGGCGCTGGCGGCGGGCCTGCAGGGGCTGGGCCCGCACGCCATGGGCGCCGCCAAGGCCGTGGACACGCCCGACGGGCTCAAGGCGCTCAAACCCGCCGACGCCACCGACAAGCTTCGGGGGGCGGCGCCGGGCGGCAAGGGCTTGTCCGCCACGACGTCATGGGTGCAGGGGCCGTCCTTCTCGTCCGCAGGCACTGCTGCTGGCGCCACAGGGGGGGCGGCAGGGGCGGGGGTGGGGGGAAGGAACGTGAGTGGGGAGGTGGGGATTGGGGAGAGCAAGCAGGGGGGGCTGGTGCGGACGGGCAGTGCGGGCAGGAGCAAGGGGGGTGTGAACCCCACGAGCCATGAGCTGTCGGCAGCCGGGGTGGCGGCTGCTGCTGGCGTGGCGGGTGTAGGCGGTGGCAGTGCGGCGGGCACGGGCGCGTCCAAGGACTTCTCCACGGGGTCATCGCGTGACCTCACCGAGTCGAGAGATGCTGCTCTGCGCAAAGTGCGAGAGCGCGAGAGGGAGCGCGAGCGGGAGAAGGAGGAGAGGGAGAAGCGGGAGCGGGAGAGGGAGCGGGAGCGGGAGAAGCGGGAGTCACGGTCGTCGGATTTGAGATTCCACCCCATGCACAACCAGATGGTGCAGCAGCTGCACTCGCAGCAGCAGGCAGCCCAGCAGCACCAGCAGCAGCACCGGCCCAGCAGCGAGCATGGCTCTCGTGTATGTGTCGCATCTCTTACCTCCTCACGCGCTCTGCCCTCCCACCCTTTAACTTGTCTACTTGAGCATGTTGCGCTGCGCCTGGTGCATTCTATGCTGTGCGTTCGCTGCACGTGCTCTGCTGCTCCTGCACGTGCTGCCTGTCATGCTGGGTGCGTGTGCTCTGCCGCCTTACCACCCGCCTTGCCCTCTGTGCTCGCCCCTGCCACCGCCTGTGTTCGCCCCTCACCCCCTTGCCCTTGGCCCACTGACCCTCCGCGTCCCCCCTGTGCTGTGTCTCTAGGGCGCTGCTCTCAACAGCAGCACCACCAAGGCCCGCCTGCACAAGACCCGGTCAGGGGAGTTGTCACATCTGCCCGGTAAATCCGAGAGTAAATCGCGAAACAGCTCGATGGACGAGAGGCATCGGCGTGAGATAGAGGCGCTGTTTGCATCGGCGTCCATGTCTGGCGTCCTGCCGGGCGGGCTGGTGGGGAGTGGTGGGGACGGGGATAGGGGCAGGGAGAAGGGGAGGGAGCGGGAGCAGCAGCGGCCGAGCAGCAGCGGCGGGCACGGGGGGGGCAGCAGTGGGCCGATGCGCATGTCGACACGCAAGGCGGGGGGAGCGGGGCAGGCGGAGAAGAGGGGGGTGGATCAGAAGACGTGGATGCTCATGGGCGCCAAGGGCGAGCTGCCTCCCGGCGTCGCTGCTGCGCTGGCCGCCACGCGCGGGGAGGGCCACAGCCACTCGCTCAGCGCCGTCGCCAGTGCCAGCAGCCTTGAGCGCACGGGTGGGGGTGGAGGAGGGGGAGGGGAGGACCGTGCAGTGGTGCGCAGCAGCAGCAGCAGCGGGGGGCGTGGTGCGGCGGTGGAGGTGAGTCCGCGGGGGCGGCCCGTGTCCACGTTCGCTGTGGAGTTCAGCCCGCGCCGCGCCAGCCCCAGGCGCCCGGGCAGCGGCAGCGGCAGCGGCAGCAGTGCAGGCGGCATGCGAGGGGCGGCGGCGGAGGGCAGTCCGCGGCGGCGGTGGTCGCCCATGCGGGAGGGGTCGCCGCGGGGGGCTGCTCGGCCCAAGCGCAGCGTGGTGGGTGTATCACCCTCGCGAGGCGGCAGCGGCAGTGCTGGGGGCAGCGTGGGGAGCAGTGCGCACAGGCGACGGCCGTCGGGGGGCAGTGGGGGAGGGAGTGGGGGAGGGGGAGAGTCGCAGCATGTGGGTTTGGAGGGCGGTGTGGCGCGGCCAGGTGTGGGCGCAGATGTGAAGGTGGTAGCCGTGTCGTAGCGCTCTGGCTCCTCGGCTAGTGCATCGGCTTATCATGTCCATCCTCTTTGTATCCCCACGCGTCTGTCATCTGTAGAGGGTATTTTATGCACCCAGGCGCCGTTGCTTCCACTGGCACTTGCTCTGCTGTGGGCCACATTTCATTTGTAGGTCAGCTGCGTTTTTTGCATCCAGAGCGCCTGTGAGCACTGGAATGCTAACATGTTTTATACGGCTCGTGCCAAGGTGCCATATGGAGTGAAGTAGGAAAATATAGGGCAGAGTTGCTTCGTCACTATTGTTGATATGCAGTGTTGCGTTTGCACCTGCAGAGCTCATGTTCCTAACCGAATATTAGTGTTGTAGAGGTGTAGAGAAGATGAGAGGTACCATAACGCAAAGCAGTGTGGAACTTGATCTCCTTGAAGGGAACATTGGAAAAGTAAAGAAGGGATAGCAGGGCTTATTTTTGCTTTTAGAAACCCTGATTAGCAGTGTTGGATTTTTGGAATCCCTGAGGTTCAGTATTGCAGAACGCCCCGCCTTGGTCGCAGTTGGTTCGGGACGGGGCTCAACCGCTCCACACTGCTCAAAACCAGCTTGCACAACGGCGACTCTCGAGCGTGCCTCGCGTTCAGAAGCTATGTCTTCTCAACAACGAGGTTCTGGGTTGCGTGGGGGAGGAGCTCCACCCATCTCATCTCTCACTCTCCAGTTGCTCTCCGCTTCACGTCCGTGCCTCGCGTCCCTAATGCTGCCGCGGAGTATGCCTTGAGTGATCGCACTCCCTCGCGCCAACATATCGGTCCGTTCCTACCTTTCGCCTTGCCGCTTACAATTGTGTTGTCAGCTTCCCGCGTTCCGCGCTACTCGATCCGCGATTTCCTTTTCGCTCCTCGACGCGCTCTCCCAAGAACCGCCGGCTCGCCCTCGCCGTGGAGCGGCGGGGGCGCTGTGACCGTCGGTTCCATGAGAGCGCACAGCGACCTCCGCGGGCCTCGCATCCCGCCGCCGGTGCTCCTTCGAGTGCGCGCGTGTCTCTCGCCGCGCGCGCTCTCCGCACCGCCGCACATTCACTCGCGATTGCTCGTCTCGCCTGTCTTTCGTGCTGCTGGCCCTGTCTCTACGCTTCTCCCCACCGCCCTCTAACCTGGTCTCGTCCTTTCCGTCTTCCCCCTCCCGTCCTGCTCTTCCTTTCCCTCCTCTCCCCTCCCCCTCTCCCCCCAATATGCGCGTGCTTCGCAGTGAGCATGGCTGCGACACCCGGAGCGGCACGGGTGCGGGGCATCGACTGATGGCAGGCGCGGTCAGGCGCGTGTCGTTCCTCGTAACCTCGCGGCTCTCAGCGCGGCTCGCAACGCATCGGGTGCGCGGCTCGTCCCTCACATCTCGAAGCATTTGTGCGATCTATGCTTGAGAGAGAATGCAAGAGGCGCGCATCGCTCTACGAAGACCGTCGGATTGGCATCAGCTGCGCGCAGCGCCTTCCATCCGAGGGTCCTAACAGGGCGGAAAGCGACGGCGAGCGTGCTATGGGGGGAGGGCGCCCTGTCGTGTGGGCGCGCTCCTCCGACATTGCACGCTCACACTCACACCTGCGCTGCTGGTGCTGTGCCTCCCTGGCGTGTGTCTCCCGCTCTAGCACGTCTGACTTGGCTTCATTCCCCTCCCTGTGCGCGCAGGTGCGAATGCATGCGTGCAAAGCACCGCATGACGGCAGGCATCCGCAGCGCGACACAAATCACGCGAGGCTGTGCCGTGCGAGTTGTCGACAGCCCCTGGCACTCGGTGGCACTCGGTGGCACTTGGTGGCACTTGATGCAAGTGGTGTGTGATGTGATGTGAGGGCGGCATGGCTCCTCATGTGAGAGACCCCTATTAGCTGTCTCCATCTTGGTGTGCAGCGGCCGCGCCATGGAGGGAGTGGTGGATAACACCATGGAGGGAGTGGTGGATAACACTATGGAGGGAGTGGTGGATAACACCATGGAGGGAGTGGTAGATTACACTGTGATGCATGCTCCATGTGATGTGACTCACAAGTGTTCATGTGTTGAATGCATGTGCTTTTATGCCAGTGTCCTTACCGTAGTTTAAGATCAAGCTGTTTATACCCCCTGGAGCACACACCCTATTCACAACTACGGTAATCAATTTGATCATTACCGTAGGTGCACTAGCTACATGCTTTGATAAATAACCAGTTGCACAAAGGACAAACAAACACGAGACACGAGGTACAGCAGTGATATCCGTCAAGTGAGCAACGGATCATCATAGAGGCACAACCACGTCACACCCTCTTCATGTCACTTGGTGAGCCCTCGGCCCGGCATGGCAGCGCATGGGAGGCGAGGTCAGGGCGAGAGAGAGGGGTCAGTCACCACGAACTCAACCTGAGGGTGGTGAGGACCGGGGAGGGATGGGAGGCAAGGCGAGGGAGGTGGTGTGCATGGCGAAGCGTGGAAGAGATGGCATGCTAGGGTGCACGGAGTGATATGTGTTGCAACAACGAGCTGAAATGACTGGCAATCCTCTGCCCCATGTCAGCCGTGCGTGATGGTGGTGTGGTGCAGTAGTGGTGACAAGCACACAACAGCTCACCTCAGGGCCCAGCTTGATGACATCACCACTGGCCAGCTTGCGCGGCGCATTCACCCCCAGCAGCTTGCTGCGCTCCAGGGAGGGAGATAACGGGGCAGAGGTACACGGGAAAACGGGGGGACAGTGGGACAGGCGTCGAGCCAAGACAAGGGGACAGCAGCACAGGGGGAGAGGCAGCACAGGGGGAGAGGCAGCACAGGGGGAGAGGCAGCACAGGGGGAGAGGCAGCACAGGGGGAGAGGCAGCACAGGGGGAGAGGCAGCACAGGGGGAGAGGCAGCACAGGGGGAGAGGCAGCACAGGGGGAGAGGCAGCACAGGGGGAGAGGCAGCACAGGGGGAGAGGCAGCACAGGGGGAGAGGCAGCAGGTGGCAGACGTGGTGGCATTGACAAAAGCATTGCCTGTGCATGCTGTGGGGGCATGCGCACACCGATGCACATGTGCGTGCGCCACCGTCGCACCACAGAAGAGCAGGGCAGCGGCCAATGCAGAAAGAGCATGGCAGAGAGAGAATGGCAGAGAGAGCATGGCAGAGAGAGCATGGCAGAGAGAGCATGGCAGAGAGAGCATGGCAGAGAGAGCACGGCAGAGAGAGCATGGCAGAGAGAGCATGGCAGAGAGAGCACGGCAGAGAGAGCATGGCAGAGAGAGCATGGCAGAGAGAGCATGGCAGAGAGAGCATGGCAGAGAGCATGGCAGAGAGAGCATGGCAGAGAGCATGGCAGAGAGAAGAGCAGAGAAGGAAAGAGAGCAGAGCAGAGCAGAGAAGGGGGCGGGGAGCAAAGTGGGATAATGGGAAGAGAGGGGGGCAGGGGAGGAGGTGGACCCGTTGAGGAAGGTGCCGGTGGTGGAGCCGATGTCAGCGATGAAGTACTCGCGCTTGTAGCTGCCGAACCCCATGTACTTGTCCTTGCCGTACACCACCGCGTGCGCGAACGACACCTGTCATGCGCACACGGAGGGGGGAGGTCGATGGGCGGTGCGTGGGAGGGCAATGAATGGCAGGTCCAGGATATGGAAGCTATTGCAATCAATTTGCAGATGGTGACCACAAAGCAAGAGAGCTCACCCCCTTGAGGTGCAGCTCGATGGGTCGCGAGCCGTCCTCCGGCTGGGGGAGCAGGCCCAGCGTCACGCCCTTGCCCGACACCTCCACGTCCTCCAATGCCGTGCTGCCACCTGGCGTGTCCGCGCTGCCTGCGGTGAGCTTGAGGCGCCACACAGGCGGATTGTCGCCCCACCCATTGGCCCTCTGCTTTGCCCCCCACTGCTGCAACCACCTGCGCAAGGGGTGGGAGGGGGAGCAAGGCAGCAAGGCAAGAAAACTGTTGAGGACCCCGAGCCAGGGGCATAGAGTGACGGTGGGTAGAGCACGAACAGTCATCGCCAGGGTGAGCATGCCTCACCATTCACGCATGGCCGTGCCTCACCATTCACGCATGGCCGTGCCTCACCATTCACGCATGGCCGTGCCTCACCATTCACGCATGGCCTTGCGGTTGCGGTCCATGGCGCGCTGCACATCGCGCTCCCAGAAGGCGCGCTTGGCCTCGCGCCTGGCGCGGTAGCGGGTCATCTCGCGCTCGATGACGGCGCGCTCCATGTCGCTCAGATCCACCATGCGCGCCGCCACCTCCTGCGCTCGCCACGGACCCACGCACCCGGGACACATGGGGCATACACACGACACAAGGGACGTGTTGAGCACAGCAAGGTGGGGGTTGGGTAGAGAGGGACGGAAAGGGAGACGTGCTAGGGAAGGCGTGGAAGGGAGAAGAAGGACAGTTGGTGGGAGTAGGAAGTGGCACAAGGGAGCTGCGCAGGGGAGAGCAAACAGTACTGGACGAATGTTCGAGTGACGTTTAGAGCTTGTTTGCGAGCAAGAAGCACTATGAAGGGATGAATGACAGCAGTTGCACCACAATGCACATGATACTTCCCTGTGAACAAGTGTGCACCATACCATGTGCTCCACGCCTACCATGTGCTCCACGCCTACCATGCGCTGCACCATGCCATGCGCTGCACGCCATGCCATGCGCTGCACGCCATGCCATGCGCTGCATGCCATGCCATGTGCTGGACGCCATGCCATGCGCTGCACGCCATGCCATGCGCTGCACGCCATGCCATGCCATGCGCTGCACGCCATGCCATGCGGTGCACGCGTACCATCTGCTCCTCATCATCGGAGGCGATGAGCTCGTCCTCACTCAGGTCGCCCTCCTCCCCGCCACCAAAATCAGCCGCAGCCGCCACATACATGGCTGCCTCCGCCTCCACTGCTGCCGCTGCCTGCTCTGCCAGCTTCACTGCCTTCTCCTCCAGCTGATTCGTCCACCTGCCACATGCAGACATGGAGAACACACAGGGAAATAGAAAATTCAAGGGGCGGCCAGGAGACATGCAAGCAAGGAATGGCCTGCCACCCACCCCTGCTGCACCCACCCCTGCTGCACCCACCCCTGCTGCACCCACCCCTGCTGCACCCACCCCTGCTGCACCCACCCCTGCTGCCCTCACCCCTGCAGCCCCTCAGGACTCACCACTGGCGCATCTCCGCCCTGCCAGCCTCCATGGCCTCCAGCCTCGCCTCCTCCGCCTGCTGCTCCGCCTCCCCCAGCACCGCCCTCCACTTGCCCACCGCCCTGCCCCCCCCACCACACACATGGCAAGCAAAGGGACGGCACATTTGACACTTTAGGTGCTGCATGGTGGTGCGTGGTGGTGCATGTAATGAGCAAATGACCGAGGCGAGAGTAAAACTCTCGCGAGTTGGACTCGTACTCGGCCAAGTGTTTCCAACACTCGTTCAGGGGCGAGTGAAACTCGCCTGGTTTCACATTTGTATACGGATTGCCTCTGCTGAACTTTTTCTGCCAATTTAACAAATCGTTATTGGCCCCCCAACAAGCGCTGCGACCAAGGCGAGCTAGAACATTGCATCAATGCTCATGTATAGGTGCGGCACCCAGCAATGCTCATGTATAGGTGCGGCACCCAGCAATGCTCATGTATAGGTGCGGCACCCAGCAATGCTCATGTATAGGTGCGGCACCCAGCAATGCTCATGTATAGGTGCGGCACCCAGCAAGGCAAAGCATGTGTGCATGGTGCACATAAGCGGTAAAGGATGATGCTGGCACCCTGGCAGGCACCCTCCATGCACCCCCACATGCACCCCCCATGCACCCCCCCGTGCACCCCCCCGTGCACCCCCCATGCACCCCCCCATGCACCCCCCATGCACCCCCCATGCACCCCCCATGCACCCCCCATGCACCCCCCATGCACCCCCCCATGCACCTCACCATACACCACCCCACGCAACCCCCAGGGCACCCACCATGCGTTGAGCTGGGCGCGCGACTCATCCTCCACCGCCGCCTGTTTCGCCGCCAACTGCGCCATCCACCTGCACGCACCCACCCACCCACGCACCCAACCCAAGCACCAACTTGAGCGGCAGGCGCAATGTGACATGCAATGTGACATGCAATGTGACATGCAATGAGCCCCAGTGGTGATAAGCACAGCAGGACACTCTGTTGGATCCGACGTCCCTGTCAGCAGGACACTATGTTGGATCCGACGTCCCTGTCAGCAGGACACTATGTTGGATCCGACGTCCCTGTCAGCAGGACACTCTGTTGGATCCGACGTCCCTGTCAGCAGGACACTCTGTTGGATCCGACGTCCCTGTCAGCAGGACACTCTGTTGGATCCGACGTCCCTGTCAGCAGGACACTCTGTTGGATCCGACGTCCCTGTCAGCAGGACACTCTGTTGGATCCGACGTCCCTGTCAGCAGGACACTATGTTGGATCCGACGTCCCTGTCAGCAGGACACTCTGTTGGATCCGACGTCCCTGTCAGCAGGACACTATGTTGGATCCGACGTCCCTGTCAGCAGGACACTCTGTTGGATCCGACGTCCCTGTCAGCAGGACACTCTGTTGGATCCGACGTCCCTGTCAGCAGGACACTCTGTTGGATCCGACGTCCCTGTCAGCAGGACACTATGTTGGATCCGACGTCCCTGTCAGCAGGACACTATGTTGGATCCGACGTCCCTGTCAGCAGGACACTATGTTGGATCCGACGTCCCTGTCAGCAGGACACTCTGTTGGATCCGACGTCCCTGTCAGCAGGACACTATGTTGGATCCGACGTCCCTGTCAGCAGGACACTATGTTGGATCCGACGTCCCTGTCAGCAGGACACTCTGTTGGATCCGACGTCCCTGTCAGCAGGACACTATGTTGGATCCGACGTCCCTGCCAGCAGGACACTATGTTGGATCCGACGTCCCTGTCAGAGCACGGCTCGCGTCTGGACGATTGCGTCCGGACGCTGGGGGCGTCCTAGACGCTGGACATTCGGCTGGAATTGGTCCTGGGCAACCCTCCCAAAAAAGAAAAATCGCGACCGCGGAATTGAAGGACGATTTTTTATGCGATTGAAACTGAGTCGAAATTGTCCTTCAGGGCGTGCGTTTCTGGGGTTGCAAAAACGCAACACCAGCAAATTACATCTCCACCCGTCTACATCTATCAATCGCAACCAAATTGGCATTCAACAGATTCAAATTTGTTGGACGTAGTCACTCTCTGGTTTCTTAGTTACGCGGCCTCCATTAGCTAACCCGAGAATCTCCCGACATCCATTAGCTTAGTATCCCTAGAATCCACCGGCTTAGTCTAAGAGCACTCTCAAGCCATGTCTTGGCGACTTCCAATCCGCCGCATGTCGCCGGTAGTTCCGGGGCGGATCCTACCGTACAAGACTTTATGTGCGAATTTCATGGATGATTAAGGGGAAAAACTGTGTTTCATGCTTGCTGGTGCCCAAAACCCCCCTCCCCCCCCCCCTCTTCCCTTATTTTCTACCATGCCCGGAGAGAAAATTTTCACCCCTGCCCGGACAAGCGTCCGGGGAACGTCCGACAGGGGGGCCTGGCCCACGACCGGACGCACGCATCCTAGACCCTGGACGCTTCAGATCCAACACAGGCAGGCCATTTGCGTTACCAAGAAAAGAGGACGCACAACGGAGCGAGGAGGACCGAGTCGAACCAGTGCGTGCGTGCATGTGAATGTTCTTCTTCATGGACACAAGTCAACAAAACAAGCCATCCAGAACTGCGCCTGAGTGGGGCAGGGTGGCGGCTTGCCTGGTAAGACAAGCAGGTGAGTGTGTGGAGGAGGAGAGCTGCCCTTGAGTGCTCTCCACTCCATGCACTACTGACCATACACCGCCTCCTTGGGCATAAAGGCATCCGCACATGAGTCACGAGTGGTGGAGAGGGGGAGGAGGAGCATGAAGTCACGGAGCAAAGTGAGCCTGCCATGCCATTGCTCTCACCATTGCCTCATCTCTGCTCGCGCTGCATCCATGGCCTTGCCCTGCTGCTGCTGCACCCACCTGGGGGACAAGCAGTGGCAGGGAGGAATGATGAGAATCAGGGTGATTACAACAGGTGCTCCTTTCTGTTTCATGTCGTCAACGAATAAAATTGCTTCATTCTGAGTGGTGTTTATTTGCATATAACTTTTGAAAAGAAGATGTAGATGAAGAGAGGGTTGAGGGTGTGTATCCATGGCATGGCATGAGTGGAGAGTGTGGCAGGCGGCGCCCACCACACCACATTCACCTGGGGTGAGCTGCCTTCTGCACGTGCGTACGTCCACGCCCCCGCCACTCTAGGCGGGAATAGGAAGCCCACATACACGTCAAGTATCCATACTTCCATCTTCACATTTTTCAGGGAGGTGGGATTCTATCCATACATATCATAAACTGATTTTCCAAATAAGGGCGTGTTCCTACGCCTCTTGTCGGACAAACCTCTTGTCAGACTTGCCTGGTACAATGCTTTTCGCTTTGAGTGTTTCAGTGCAGTTTGACCCGAGCCAGATAAGAGGTTAGCCTGATAAGGGGTCGTAGGAGCACGCCCTAAGATACGACATTGGTGATGCCGTGACACACAATGACAGGCCTTTTTACAGGCTGCCTGCAATCGCCCGCGAAACAGAGAGGCCACAATCTGCATGACATCTTGTTGGGTTGAATACCATTTGCCAGTTGGCATTCAAATTGAAGGTAACTGTGTGCCCGACATAGCATACGAACGTTTGCTAAGGTTTATGGTGAGTGGAGCAGAGTGGTGAGGAAGGGAACACGGGTCAGTTGCTAGCGAGCCCCGTGGGATGGAAACCCACCCCACACAATCGCTTGGGCCCCGTCCCATCCACACACTCGCACAGCTTATGCAGTGAACAGCACAGCTTATGCGGTGAACAGCACAGCTTATGCGGTGCACAACAGAAATTTGGAGTCTTTTTGGAAGACCATTGACTGCCCACTTGGGTGCTGCCTCGTGCACTAAAGAAGCAAGTCTGTCCATGCAGGCAGGCAGCATCAAAGGACTCCAGAATGACTGACTGGCAACAAGGGTGGAGAGGAGGAGGCGGAGCATCAACTCACAAATAACGTGCTCTCACCATTGCCTCATCTCTGCGCGCGCTGCATCCATGGCCTTGCCCTGCTGCTGCTGCACCCACCTGGAGGGACAAGGGTGGCAGGGAGGAATGACGCGAATAAGGGTGTTTGGAACAATGTGTGCCTTTGCGTTTCATTGCAAAGGCCCAACGAGCTGCTGCTGTCCAAGCCAACACACTCGAGTTAGATTCGTTGACTCAATCTGGGTGATTTTTCTTGGCCAATTCGGTTTGCAGATTGTGCTAAGTGTAACGTGTGCTACAGAGACAAGGGCAAGGGCCGGTGGCGGGACGACACCGACCTGCCCCGGGCTGGGCGCCCCCCTTGGCTTGGCGATGGGGCTGACTCACGTGTGAGGAATTTGGCCCGTGGCTGATCTAGGCCCGACTCGTGCCAAGCGAGGCCCAGCCCAATTCAAACATTCACTAAAGGCCCAGCCCAATTCAAACATTCACTAGAGGCCCAGCCCAATTCAAACATTCACTAGAGGCCCAGCCCAATTCAAACATTCACTAGAGGCCCAGCCCAATTCAAACATTCACTAGAGGCCCAGCCCAATTCAAAGATTCACTAGAGGCCCAGCCCAATTCAAACATTCACTAGAGGCCCAGCCCAATTCAAACATTCACTAGAGGCCCAGCCCAATTCAAACATTCACTAGAGGCCCAGCCCAATTCAAACATTCACTAGAGGCCCAGCCCAATTCAAACATTCAGTAGAGGCCCAGCCCAATTCAAACATTCACTAGAGGCCCAGCCCAATTCAAACATTCACTAGAGGCCCAACCCAATTCAAACATTCACTAGAGGCCCAGCCCAATTCAAACATTCACTAGAGGCCCAGCCCAATTCAAACATTCACTAGAGGCCCAGCCCAATTCAAACATTCACTAGAGGCCCAGCCCAATTCAAACATTCACTAGAGGCCCAGCCCAATTCAAACATTCACTAGAGGCCCAGCCCAATTCAAACAGTCACTAGAGGCCCAGCCCAATTCAAAGATTCACTAGAGGCCCAGCCCAATTCAAAGATTCACTAGAGGCCCAGCCCAATTCAAACATTCACTAGAGGCCCAGCCCAATTCAAACATTCAGTAGAGGCCCAGCCCAATTCAAACATTCACTAGAGGCCCAGCCCAATTCAAACATTCAGTAGAGGCCCAGCCCAATTCAAAGATTCACTAGAGGCCCAGCCCAATTCAAACATTCACTAGAGGCCCAGCCCAATTCAAACATTCACTAGAGGCCCAGCCCAATTCAAAGATTCACTAGAGGCCCAGCCCAATTCAAAGATTCACTAGAGGCCCAGCCCAATTCAAACATTCACTAGAGGCCCAGCCCAATTCAAACATTCACTAGAGGCCCAGCCCAATTCAAACATTCACTAGAGGCCCAGCCCAATTCAAACATTCACTAGAGGCCCAGCCCAATTCAAACATTCACTAGAGGCCCAGCCCAATTCAAACATTCACTAGAGGCCCAGCCCAATTCAAACATTCACTAGAGGCCCAGCCCAATTCAAACATTCACTAGAGGCCCAGCCCAATTCAAACATTCACTAGAGGCCCAGCCCAATTCAAACATTCACTAGAGGCCCAGCCCAATTCAAACATTCACTAGAGGCCCAGCCCAATTCAAACATTCACTAGAGGCCCAGCCCAATTCAAACATTCACTAGAGGCCCAGCCCAATTCAAACATTCACTAGAGGCCCAGCCCAATTCAAACATTCACTAGAGGCCCAGCCCAATTCAAACATTCACTAGAGGCCCAGCCCAATTCAAACATTCACTAGAGGCCCAGCCCAATTCAAACATTCACTAGAGGCCCAGCCCAATTCAAACATTCACTAGAGGCCCAGCCCAATTCAAAGATTCACTAGAGGCCCAGCCCAATTCAAACATTCACTAGAGGCCCAGCCCAATTCAAACATTCACTAGAGGCCCAGCCCAATTCAAACATTCACTAGAGGCCCAGCCCAATTCAAACATTCACTAGAGGCCCAGCCCAATTCAAACATTCACTAGAGGCCCAGCCCAATTCAAACATTCACTAGAGGCCCAGCCCAATTCAAACATTCAGTAGAGGCCCAGCCCAATTCAAACATTCACTAGAGGCCCAGCCCAATTCAAACATTCACTAGAGGCCCAGCCCAATTCAAACATTCACTAGAGGCCCAGCCCAATTCAAACATTCACTAGAGGCCCAGCCCAATTCAAACATTCACTAGAGGCCCAGCCCAATTCAAACATTCACTAGAGGCCCAGCAAAATTCAAACACTCACTAGAGGCCCAGCCCAATTCAAACATTCACTAGAGGCCCAGCCCAATTCAAACATTCACTAGAGGCCCAGCCCAATTCAAACATTCACTAGAGGCCCAGCCCAATTCAAACATTCACTAGAGGCCCAGCCCAATTCAAACATTCACTAGAGGCCCAGCCCAATTCAAACATTCACTAGAGGCCCAGCCCAATTCAAAGATTCACTAGAGGCCCAGCCCAATTCAAAGATTCACTAGAGGCCCAGCCCAATTCAAACATTCACTAGAGGCCCAGCCCAATTCAAACATTCACTAGAGGCCCAGCCCAATTCAAACATTCACTAGAGGCCCAGCCCAATTCAAACATTCACTAGAGGCCCAGCCCAATTCAAACATTCACTAGAGGCCCAGCCCAATTCAAAGATTCACTAGAGGCCCAGCCCAATTCAAAGATTCACTAGAGGCCCAGCCCAATTCAAAGATTCACTAGAGGCCCAGCCCAATTCAAACATTCACTAGAGGCCCAGCCCAATTCAAACATTCACTAGAGGCCCAGCCCAATTCAAACATTCACTAGAGGCCCAGCCCAATTCAAACATTCACTAGAGGCCCAGCCCAATTCAAACATTCACTAGAGGCCCAGCCCAATTCAAACATTCACTAGAGGCCCAGCCCAATTCAAACATTCACTAGAGGCCCAGCCCAATTCAAACATTCACTAGAGGCCCAGCCCAATTCAAACATTCACTAGAGGCCCAGCCCAATTCAAACATTCACTAGAGGCCCAGCCCAATTCAAACATTCACTAGAGGCCCAGCCCAATTCAAAGATTCACTAGAGGCCCAGCCCAATTCAAAGATTCAGTAGAGCATTGTGGTGTGGCGATGCGACGCATGTGATTCTCCTCACACACTTCCACGTTGCCATCAGTTCCTCACCTACACGCTCGGCACATCCATCAACTACTCTCAATGAATTTGGATGTCAAGGGGCTAACATCTAGGAAGGTTAGGCATTGAGGGCTATGCCAGAGGAGAGGTGAGAGGGCAAACGTAAATACAAACTCACAATTGAGATTTGAACATGATTTATCACTTGGACTCAAGGCAAGCCCCCATTCTCTCACCTCTCAAGGCAATACCCCCTGCGCTGCGCTGCACTCACCAGGCCCTCATTTCCGCTCGGCCCTGTTCCATGCCGGCTGCAGCTGCTGCCCCCACCTTGGCCTGCTGCTGCTGCTCCCACCTGCCAGCATGCCGCCGGCCCGGGTACAGGGCGATGGTGAGAATCTTAAACCGCACTGTCCAAACTACAAATGCAAAAATGAGCAAGAGTCAGTTCGTGATCGTTCGGGTCGAACCGGTTTGAGTGCCCCCGCTGGCAGTGAAGGTTCGCTTCCCTGCGCACACTCAACCTCACCCCTCCCTCCCTTGCTCTCACCATTGCCTCATCTCTGCGCGCGCTGCATCCATGGCCTTGCCCTGCTGCTGCTGCACCCACCTGGGGGGGGATAGTGGAAGGAGACGAGGGTGGCAGAGGGAAAAGAGAAGAGTGGCGCGCAGAGGATAGTGGAACAGATTGCCCGGCACAAGTGTAAGAATGACAAACGAAAATGCAAACTATGTAAATTAAGTGCACATGCATATGGTCACCGGGAGTATACAGTGGCTTTGCATACACATATCATATCTTGAAGGTAAGTTTGCGAATGGATGGGTGAAGCACAAGTGGTGACAGGCAGCATGCAAACGAGTGTGGCATGAGAGAGATGTCACGAGGGCGAGTGGGATGGTAGTTGGGGCACCCAGCCAGCACCCTCCACGTGGTTCACACTCACACTCACCATTGCCTCATCTCCGCACGACCTGCATCCATGGCCTTGCCTTGCTGCTGCTCCGCCCACCTGGCGCACATGGGGGGTGGGGGGAGGGAACAAGGCGCAAAGCACACACAGCATGCCCAAAGTAGTCGCAAAATCCTCAAGGGATACTGGTGCCAGCAAATACTCTTTAAGTTTGAACCAAACGTGGTATAATCTGTCACACACGAAGCAGTTAGTGTGTTACACTATGAAGCATATCAGGTACGATAGTTTAAACTCGCATAAATCAGTGAGGGATGATAAGAAGAAGCATGATTGCCAAGGCAATGCAAGCTGAACGTCAGTCACGTGTGGAAAAAGGAACCCATGGAGGAGATGAGATGAGAGGTAAGGTCAGACGGGGGAATGGATTGCCCGAGAGCGATGGTGTGAAAAATGAATATTAGACACACTCGTACTCAATTCAAAACGGCCCGATTAGCATTTGCACTTAACGTATAGCAGCTATTCGGTCCGAATCCGTAAAATATTTACGAAGAATTCACATTTGACTCGCACTCTGTTTTGCAGGCTTAGGAGGATGGAGGGAGTGTGCGCTTGAGAGGGAGTGTGCGCTTGAGAGGGAGTGTGCGCTTGAGAGGGAGTGTGCACTTGAGAGGGAGTGTGCGCTTGAGAGGGAGCGCTGCAGCAGACACCTTCCCTGGCTCACTCACACTCCTTACCTCCCCTGCACTCACCACTGCCTCATGCCTGCACTCACCACTGCCTCATGGCTGCGCGCGCCGCATCCATGGCCTTGGCCTGCTGCTGCTCCATCCACCTGGTAGCCATGCAGGGGCGCATAAGCAGGGGCGCACAAGCATGGACGTGATGAGGTGTGGCGGGCGAACCCATCTACGGTGGCTGGCTGACAGGCACCTCTGAATATCTCGCCCTCCCTGCTGACAGGCACCTCTGAATATCTCGCCCTCCCTGCTGACTCGCTCCTCACTTCCACCTCGCCCCTTCCCTCCTCAAACCCCCCCCTCCCCTTCTCCCGCAACACTCTCTCATCACTTCTTGATTCTTCCCGCTCCCCTTGCCTTCACCCTACCTCTTCGCTGCCCTCCTCCACCCTCCCTTCCCTCCCTCTCTCTCCTCCCGCCCTCCCTCTCTCCCCACCCCCCTCCCGCCCTTCCTCTTTTCTTCCCCCTCTCCCCTTTCCCCCCACTCACCACGTCCTCATCTGCGCGCGGGCAGCATCCATACCCGCCTTCTCGCCCTTGCCCGCCTGCTGTGCCGCCCACCTGGTGTCCGAGGGGGGACGGAGAGGCGCAACAACAGCAAACGGGAGGCAATGCGGAAGGAGAAGCATAAGAAGAATCTCAGCATGTGCAGGCATGAATGAGCGCCGCCCCAGCTCAAGGGCGGGACGGACCGCCAGCTTCAAAGACTCCGCCCGCCGGGCCACCTGCGCCCGGCATCCCCACGGCCGGCATCCCCACGGCCGGCATCCCCACGGCCGGCATCCCCACGGCCGGCATCCCCACGGCCGGCATCCCCACGGCCGGCATCCCCACGGCCGGCATCCCCACGGCCGGCATCCCCATGGCCGGCATCCCCACGGCCAGCATCCCCACGGCCGGCGGCTCGGACCGGTAGCACGCCGGGTGTCTCGGTGTGCGTGGGCCGGCAAGTAATGGTGACGCGCATGTCAGTTGCGGTGAAGAGTGAGTGAGTCACGGGTGCAACTCATCCTCGCGTTCCACCCACCTCACCATCCCTGCTCTCGCACTCCTCTTCCTATCACCTCGTGTGCCCCTCCCTGCCATTTGCACCAGCCACGCATCACACCCCCGCCACCGCTCCCCCTCACCCCTCCCCCAACCCACCCCACCGTCCCCCATGAGTGCGCTCACCCCTCCCCCATGAGTGCGCTCAGCTCACCACGCCCTCATCTCAGCGCGCGCAGCATCCATGCTCGCCTGCGCCCCCTCCCCCTCCCCGTCCGCCACGGCCACCGCCCCCTGGCCGCTCCGCTGCCCTGCCTTGGCCGCCTGCTGCGCCTGCCACCTGCGCCACGCGCGGAGAGACAGCATGAGCGCGCGGGAAACATCGGGGAGAGGCGAACAACGGTAGAGTTGCGAGCGCGCTTGGCAGGGTGGCGTGCAGGAGAGCATGGGAGTGCGGGAGAGCATGGGAGTGCGGGAGAGCATGGGAGTGCGGGATATCATGGTGAAAGGTTGAGATGGGGGGTGGCGGGTTGGCCAGCGTATCGAAGAGGGCGGGAGGGAGGCACGCGGATGGTGTGAGGCGTGGCAGGGCGGGAGGGCGGGTGTGAAGGAAGATTGATGACCGGTGGAGGAGCGAGGCATGTGGGGAAGTGAGAGAGCGACAACTCAACACCCACCCACCACCCGTGGCGCACCCACCACCCGTGGCGCAACCAAAACCCGTGGCGCACCCACCACCCGTGGCGCACCCACCACCCGTGGCGCACCCACCACCCGTGGCGCACCCACCACCCGTGGCGCACCCACTACCCCTCCCGCACTCACCACTGGCGCATGGCGGCTCTCCCCCTCTCCATTTCCGCCTCCCCCACCTCCGCCACTACCCTCACTGCGCCCCTCCCCCTTTTGCTGCTGGCGGCCGGGCCCCCAGGCAGCGACACACGCCTGAGACAGGCGTGGTGAGAGGGTGGGGTGGGAAGAGGAGAGAGGGGGGAAAGAAGGTGGGGAAGTTGGGGGGTGCGTGAGCGAGAGGCGGAGGGAGCGCGGAGTCCGTCTGTGCGACCAGCAATGCGACCAGCATCGCTACATTGCGACGAGCATTGCGACGCAGCAACCTGCTCGCCATCATCGTCGCATCAACGAGCTCGGGCGACAACGGCCCGCTTTTTAATCGCCGCACATTGCCAGTTCGCGATATAAGCGCTAATTGCTGTCGACTGTCGACGCGGCAACAGCATTCGGATCGCGAGTTGGTAGCAAGCTGAAAGAAGCGGTGTGCGACGAGGAGAATCCTCGAGCGCGAGCGAGAATCGTCGCACGGCGTTCAGACTAAGCGGGGCGTCGCGCAGCCGGCAGTCCCACCCGGAAGCATTCGACGCGCAGTGCATGTCGCGCAGCTTGGCACCGCTCGCCCAGCGAGGCCGTACCTGGGGGCGGCTAGCAACGGCCGGCCGGCATGTGAGGAGCGCAGCGACGTGCGCGCCGATGTCGGGGCGAGCGAGGCTCGCGGAAAGGGCGACGAAACGAGCAGCATGTCCATGGCGCAGCCGCGCACTTCGTGCTAGGTGCTGGTGGTGGGTGCGTGCCTGGTGGGTGCGAGGTGGGAGGTGTGGATGGGACGGACGAGGTTGGATCACAAAGTGAGGTGGCAAAAACGGAAGCTTTGAGAGGGTGAGCTGGGTGATGTGGCGGGGCATGAGCACAGCGCTGGGGAACCACTCGTGAAACAAACAGGGGTTTGGTATATAATCACAAAATCGTTAAACCCCTTTAGAATGTTTGTCCTTTCTAAATAATTATAGTGTGTCTTTGACTTCTTACACTAACAAACGCAACATCAATATTGGAATAACTGAAAAGTGTTTTAGCATTTCAGAAGGTGTAACCTTACCGCACCTGTCATTAGCGAAGCAACACCTGTACGACTACTGTGTTAGCCCATATAGAGCACACAAGGTCTACAGCCGCAAATCAACTTTCGCGACTGTTAACCAGGGCCTATTATTCACTTGTAGGCACGTTAATGCATCAGGGTCCCTCTGTGTAGAATCCCTGGACGTCAGTGTTCCCCCCCAAAAAAAGCTTGATGATTCAGTGTTACCTTAAAAAAAAGGTTGATGCATCAGTGTTCCCTTTTTGTGGATGTCGATATGGAACTTCAAATAAGATAACACTAACTAGCTAGCAAGCATCAGCAACAGAGGGTTCATTTACTCATCATCATCACTGCAGTTAGCCTCTGGTCAGGTGAGTTTAGGTGATCACCCTTGTTTTTAAAAGTTGTTTTATGAGGCACCCTTAGCCGAAAAAGTGCTCATTTGGTTAACACTGATATTTAAGACAGGCCTGGTGTACTCGCCCTGATGACAAAGACTAGTGTCGCATACCACCCTGATGCGATTTGACGCGGCGGAGGGAGGGGGGGGGGGGGGGGGGGGGGGTACTGACGAGATTTGGGCCGTGATTAGCGGCGTTTTGCCTGAGTCAGCAGATGTGCGAGTCGCTTTGACGGCTCGCGTCGCCACTGCTATAGTCCCGTAAACTGTACCTGACTCACCCTCAATTTTCCCAGCTGGCAATGCCGCGCAGCGCCACGCACACCTGCTTCGTGCAGGAGGTGTGTCCTGCTTGGAAGCATCTTCTTCCGTCCCCAGCAGGGCCCCTGTCAGATTCACATGACATAGCTATTGTAAGCTATAGTGGGGTAGCACATATGGGGTACAGCTTTCTAGGGTTTGTATTTGTACCCAACTTTCACTTAGTCATTTCATTCTCGTTCTAGTTTTCTCATGGTATCGAGCAGGTTCCCTCGTGGGAACTGTTCCTAGGGCCCACCGATTCGACTTTTTTTTTTCTGCCCGGAGCACGCTCAATCCCTGCCCGAGTCGCACTCTGTGGGTCTCCCCTCTCACGGCCCCTAACAGACCCGTCACGCCGCCCTCACGGCCCCTCACGGCCCCTTAGCGGCCCCTAGCGGCCCCGTCGCGCTGCCCTAGCGGCCGCGCCACGTCGCGCCGCCCTAGCGGCCGCGTCGCGCCGCCCTTGCGGCCCGGATCGAGCCGCCCTAGCGACCCCCTCCAAGCCGCCCTTGCGGCCCCGTCGCCTACCCTCACGGCCCCGCGCCTACCTTGCGGCCCCGGCGCCTACCCTGCGGCCCCTGCGCCTACCCCGGCACCTCCTCTCGCGGCCCCGGCGCCTACCCTGCGGCCCCGGCGCCTACCCTGCGGCCCCTGCGCCTACCTCAACGCCTACCCTCACGGCCCCGGCGCCTACCCTCACGGCCCCGGCGCCTACCCTGCGGCCCCGTCGCCTACCTCTAAGGCCCCGGCGCCTACCCCTACGGCCCCGTCGCCTACCCCTACGGCCCCGGCGCCTACCCTGCGGCCCCGTCGCCTACCCCTACGGCCCCGGCGCCGCTCCACCCGGCCCCGACGCCGCTACACCCGGCCCCACCGCCGTCCCCACGCGGCCCCGCCGTCACCACCGAGCCGCCGGCGCCGCCGAGCTACTGCCGAGCCGCCCGAGCCGCCGCATCATCTGAGCCGCCGGGTAGCCGAGCCGCCGTGCCGCCGGGTCGTCGAGCCGCCGTTGCTGCCGAGCTGCCGTACCGCCGAGCCGCCCGAGCCGCCCAAGCCGCCGAGTTGCCGAGCCGCTGAGCCGCCGAGCCGTCTGAGCCGCCCTGTCCGTTAAGAGCAGCGCCTCTGTCACTGCACTGCCCCTACCTCACTGTTCGCGCTACTAGTCTATTGCTGTCATGGCTACCCCTAGTGTCCTCGCTTTTGACGCTGACGGTCGGGCCATTGACTTTGACGTCTGGGTAGATGACCTGCAGCTCTTCCTACAGTGCGATAGGGCAGACGGTCTCTCCCTCTTTGACCTCACCTCTAGTGCCTCTCCTGCCCCTACTGCTGATGCTGACGCCACTGTTCGCTCATAGTGGGCCACACGCGATGCTGCTGCACGTCTTGCTGTGCGTCACCACCTCCTACCTCTGAGCGTGCGCACTTTAGCCAGTACAAGAGTGCTCAGACCTTGTACGACGCTGTAGTTGCACGCTACTCCTCCCCTGCCACTACTGCACTGAGTCGCCTCATGCTACCGTACCTCTTCCCTGATCTTGCTTCCTTTCCCACAGTCACTGACCTCATTACGCACCTCCGCACTAGTGACACTCGCTACCGCGCTGCGCTTCCTGCTGAGTTCTGCGCCAAGAACCCCCCCCCCCCCATGTACATCACCCTCTACTACATAGTCACCCGTCTCCCTGACTCTCTCCGCGTAGTCAGAGACCACTTCCTCTCAGTTTACCCCACCACTCTCACTGTTGACCTCCTTGAGAAGGCCATCCTAGCGGCAGAGAAGAGCATAGTCGCTGTAGGTGCCTCTCGTGGTGACCCTCACACCCCTGTCTTTGAGGGGTGTTCCCCTCCCCCCTTTTGCCCTCTGTTGCCTCTTCTGCTGCGGCCGACCTCGTTGGTCTCGAGTCGGTCGGCGCTGCGTCTGCCCCGAGCGGGAGATGCCGCACCGGCAAGGGCAAAGGGGGCAAGGGCGCTGGAGGGGGTGGCGAGGGTGGCGGAGGGGGCGGTGGCGGCGGTGGAGGGGGTGGGGGTGGTGGTGGGAGTGGTGGCGGGGGTGGAGGTGTTGGTGGCGGCAGTGGAGGCAGAGGCGGCGGCGGCGGTGGCGGTGGGAGCGGAGGTGGCGGAGGTGGCGGCGGTGGAGGAGGCGCTGGCGGAGGAGGTGGAGCTGGTCGGGGTGGCGCTAAGCAGATGGTCGGCTCCGGTGGTGGTCCGCGCCAGCAGCAGCAGCGCACTCGTGACATCCCCCCCCCTCAGCAGCTCCGTGAGTGGTACGCTGCACGTCAGCGGGGTGGGGGTACTGGTCCGTGCACCTACGTCCTACGTCCTACACACTGGGGACCGCACGGGTGAGCAGTGTGAGGGTGCGCACTCCACCCAGCGCTGCTTTGGCCGCATGACGGACGCTTGGCGTCACCAGTTCCCGGAGGCCACTGAGATCCCTCGCTGGGGTGAGCTGTCTGGGGCGGGAGTAGCTATCTTTGACCTTGAATTTGATGCTATTCTTGCTGCCATGTATGCTGTGACTATTAGTGATGAGGGTGACTGTTACCGGTGTTTTCCGCCCGACCCGGGCATTGAGACTGCTGCTCTAGGTACTGGTGAGGCTGCTGCTATAGGTGCTCACGAGGCTGCTGCTGTAGGTGCCTGTGCGTCTGCGTCCTCAGGTGCTGGTGAGTCTGCTCTCTCAGGTACCGAGTCGGCTTCAGCCTCCCTCACCTTCACCCTTGACTCGGGGGCTTCTCACTCCTTCTTTCGAGACCGCACCACACTCACGCCGCTTGGTCGGCCAGTTGCAGTCTCTCTGGCAGACCCCTCTGGTAGTCCTGTCCTTGCTCACTTCTCCACTGTCCTCCTGTTTCCGGCGGCTCCCTCTGGCACCCTGTCTGGTCTCTACCTCCCCTTGTTCTCTACGAACTTGGTGAGTGGTGCTGACTTACAGGATGGGGGAGTTCACCAGTTCACTTCTGCGAGCCAGCGGGTGACCCACTTCACGGATGCTCGGACGGGCCGACACTTGGCCACGTTTACACGTCGGTCGGGGTCGAGCCTGTACACACTGACCACTGCGTCTCCTCCTGTCCATGCGTCTGGTCAGGTAGCTGCGTCAGGTCAGGTGTTTGCTGCAGCGTCCAGGTATGGTCCTGAGTCTGCCCCCTGCTCGTGTCGTCTCCTGTCTCACGAGACTCTCCTGTGGCACCACCGCCTTGGTCACCCCTCCCTGCTTCGTCTCCAAGGCATGGCCTCCCGTGTCCTTGTCTCTGGTCTTCCCGGGTCACTCCCTCCCCTTCCTCCGGGGCCTGGCCCTACCTGCGTCCCCTGTGTCGAGGGGCGGCAGCGGGCTGCCCTTCACTCCACCCAGTTTCCTCCAATAGAGGCCCCACTGCAGACGCTTCACATGGACGTGTGGGGCCCGGCCCGCGTCCGTGGAAAGGGTCACGAGCGCTACTTCCTGCTGGTAGTTGACGACTACTTGTGTTGCACCACAGTCTTCCCCTTGCGCAGCAAGGGTGATGTCACTGAGGTGTTGATCGACTGGATCCGCGCAGCTCGTCTCCAGCTCAGGCAGAGCTTCGGCTCGGACTTTCCTATTCTGCGTCTGCACTCTGACAGAGGCGGAGAGTTCTCCTCTGGCCTTCTGCGAGCCTACTGTCGTGCACGAGGCATCCGCCAGACCTTGACACTTCCGGACTCTCCACAGCAAAATGGGATTGCTGAGCGCCGCATTGGCATGGTCATGGACGTCGCCCGTACGTCCATGATGCATGCGGCTGCCCCCCATTTTCTGTGGCCGTTTGCGGTTCGGAACGCGGCGCATCAGATTAACCTTCACCCCAGGGTCTCCATGCCGGAGACCTCCCCAGCTTTGCTGTGGACCGGGAAGGTTGGCGATGCGTCTGCGTTCCGTGTCTTTGGATCTCGGGCGTTTGTCCGCGACTTGTCTGCGGACAAGCTGTCCCCTCGT